AAAGAAAGGTGGTTAGATTGGCAGTGAGGAAGTGGGGTGTTCATGTGGTACGCTTACAGGAGACGAAGATGGCATCCATTTCGGATAGGGTGGTTAGGAGTCTGTAGGGTGCGAGGTTTATTGAATGGGAGGCGTTGGATGTTGTAGGGACATGTGGGGGTATTTTGGTGAAGGATAAGAGATGGGTGTCAAAAGGGGATATGTGGCGAGGGAGATTCTCCATTTCTTGTAGTTTTACTATGGAAGAGGATGGGTTTCATTGGATGTTCTCGGGTGTGTATGGTCCAGTGGATGATAGGGAGAGGCATCTTCTCTAGGAGGAGTTGGGCTTTGTTAAGGCTCAGTGGAGTCTTCCATGGTGTGTAGGAGGAGATTTTAATGTGGTTAGATCCCCTTCGGAGAAATCAACAGAAGGAAGATGGACTCAGGCTATGGTACAGTTTTCAGAATTCATTGATAGCCAGCATCTTCACGATTTGCCTTTGGAGGGGGCTTCTTTCACATGGGTTAATGGCAGAGAGTCCCCTACCCTTTCACACCTGGATAGATTTCTTATTTCAGGAGATTGGGAGGAGAAGTTTCCGGATGCAACTCAGGCAACCTTGGCTAGACCGACATCGGATCATATTCCTTTGGTGTTGGATTGTGGTGGGTTAAGGTCTAGAATCACTCCTTTCAGTTTCGAAAATATGTGGCTTAGGGCGGATGATTTCGAGGGGTGTGTGAGGTCTTGGTGGGAAGGTAGTATGGTGTCTGTGAATCCAAGCTTTATTCTTGCTAGAAAGCTTGGGGTGTAGGAGATAAAAAAAGGTTATATAAGGAGGTATTCGGGAATCTCGAGTGGAGGAAGAGTAGGGCTTTGGCGGAGATTGCAGAGATTGATTGCTGGGAAGGCATGGGTGGCATTGATGATGAGCAGAGAAGTAGGAGAGCAGCGTGCCAAGGTGAGATTGCTCAGATTGCTGTGTCAGAGGAGATTTCGTGGAGACAGAAATCCAGAGCATTATGGCTTAAGGCGAGGGCCAGGAACACTAAGTTTTTCCATAGGTTGGCTAATGCTCATAGGAGGGGCAATCACATAGGGAGGCTTACTGTGAATGGGGTGGTATTGAGTAGGGAGGACGATGTTTGCAAGGGGATTACCCGATTCTATCAGAGGTTATTCACGGAGCCTGTGTCTGCGAGACCCCGGCTGGATGGACTTAATTTTGATAGGATTTCTGAGGCGAACAGGGAGGGTTTGGAGATTCCGTTTTCTGAGGAGGAAGTGCTGAAGGCGTTGAGAAATTGTAATGGGGATAAAGCTCCGGGTCCGGATGGTTTCACTATAAGGTTTCTTTTGGAAAGTTAGGATGCGGTCAAAGGCGAGGTGATGGGTACTTTTCTTGCTCAGGGGAGATTTGAGAAATCTCTTAATGCATCGTTTATAGCTCTCATTCCAAAGAAGGGCGGGACCCATACATGTGAAGGACTTTAGACCTATTAGTTTGTTGGGATGCATTTATAAACTAATAGCTAAAGTTCTTTCTTTGAGGTCGAGGGTGGTTTTGGATGAGGTTATTTCGGAATCTCAAAATGCTTTCATAGGAGGGCGTCAGATTTTGGATTCTGTCCTTATTGCTAGGGAGTGTGTGGATGATAGATTAGGGAGTGGGGTTCCAGGGTCTTCTGTAAGTTTTTTTTTTTTTTTTTTTTTTTTTTTTTTTTTTTCCTAGTTGGGACTCACACACACTGCCTTCACTGAGGTTCAAACCCCTGACCTCCCTTTGGGAAGTAGGAGCTTTGTACCGCTAGACCACAGGCCTGTTGGTGGGTCTTGTGTAAGTTGGATGTGGAGAAAGCTTATGATCATGTTAGTTGGAGTTTTTTGTTATATTTGATGGCAAGGATGGGTTTTGGGGAAAAATGAAGGAATTGGATTGAGTTCTACATTTCTTCAGCAAGATTCTCGATGTTGGTGAATGGGTCCCGACTGGTTTTTTTGGTAGTTCGCGAGGTTTGCGTCAAGGATATCCATTATCCCCACTTCTGTTCATCATTGTGATGGAGGGGCTTAGTAGATTGATGGGGAGGGCTGTGGAGGTGGGCTTCATCAGGGGTTTTAAGGTGGGAAGGGATGTTATGCATCAACTGGAGATTTCTCACTTCCCGTTTGTAGATGATACTCTTGTCTTTTGCGAGGCTGAGGTGTCTCGTGAGATATTTGAGGTCAGTGTTGATCTGTTTTCAGGTAATCTGGGTTTGAAAGTGAATGTGGGGAAGAGCGCTTTGATTCCAGTGGGTGAGGTTCCGGAGATTGAGGAATTAGCTTCTGTTCTTAGTTATGGAGTTAGTTCTTTACCGATCTCTTACCTGGGTTTACCTCTAGGGTTTCTTCGAGGATTGTAGGTGCTTGAGATCCGGTGGTGGAGAGGGTGGAGAGGAGGCTTGCGGGGTAGAAGAAGCAATATTTATCAAAAGGGGGGAGGGTTACCTTGTTGAAAAGCACTTTGTCGAGCATTCCCACATATTATTTATCCCTTTTCCAAATTCCGTCCTCGGTTGTTGCTTGTATTGAAAGACTTCAAAGGAACTTCTTATGGGGAGGTTTGAGGGATGAGTTTAAGTATCATTTGGTTCGTTGGGAGCAGGTGTGTAAGCCTGTTAAGTTTGGAGGAATTGGGATTAGGCGACTATTGCCTTTTAACAGGGCCTTGTTAGGTAAGTGGTTGTGGAGTTTTGTTATTGAACGGGATAGATTGTGGAGGAGGGTGATATTGTGTCGCTTTGGGGAGGAGAGATGGGGGGCTCGGCTGTGGTGTCTATACCTGGAGGTGTCAGTGTTTGGAAAGACATTCAGAAGGGATGTAATGAGTTTTCTAAGCATATCAGATTCAGAGTTCATGATGGAAGGGAGATTCGGTTTTGGGAGGATGCGTGGTGTGGAGACCGCACTTTAGCATGCTCTTTCCCTAGACTGTTTAGGATTGCAGTGGATGGGCATGCCTTGGTGGCTGACTGCTATCGCCTTAATAGCGAGAGACCGGTTTGGGATGTGCTTTTTCAGCGATCTTTTCAGGATTGGGAGATGGATGATGTTTTTGGTTTTTTAGAGTTGTTGTATAGCTAGGTGATCCAGGGAGGTAGGGATACTCTGGTTTGGATTTCTTCTGCTAGGGGAATGTTTAGTATGAGATCTTTTTTCAATGGCGAACTAAGGCGCCATTGAAAGTGGCCTTTTTTGCTTGGACGGTTGTGTGGGGTAAAATTTTGACGCTAGATAATTTGAGAAGGAGAAAGATTATCACGGTGCATTGGTGTTGCATGTGTAAGTGCAATGACGAGTCGGTTGATCATCTTCTTTTGCATTATCCAGTGGCGGTTGATTGTTGAAACCTTTTGCTTGGTTTATTTGGAGTTTATTGGGCCATGCCTAGATCTACGAGAGGTTTAATGGGACACCTGGAGAGGAGGTTGGGTGGAGCACAGGCTCGAGGGTTCTAGAAGATGGCGCCTCGGTGTCTTTGGTGGTGTTTGTGGAGGGAGGGGAATAGAAGATCATTTAAAGGAGAGGAATCTTTCATCAGTGGTTTGAAATCTTCTGTTATTAGCTCTCTTTGTTTTTGGGGTTCAGGTAGATGCTGCTCTTCTGCTCAGGAGACTGTTGAGTTTTTGGCTTCCCTGGGGCCTTAGGGTACCCAGGTTTTTGTGGTTTTGTTAAGGACGCGTTCTCCTTTTGAACACTTTTTAAATGAATTGCTTATTTTTACAAAAATATAAAAAATAAATAAATAAATAAATAAAACAATCCAAAACCAACAAAATATAATCCGAAGTCACCCTAGCCAAAGCTGCCTGAACAACATACGGAAATCTCTCCTCCCAATCCCATGTAATCAAGAATCTATCCAACCTTGAAAGAGTAGGCGAATCCCTGCCACTAGACCACGTGAGCTGTATACAATAACAAGTCCCACAAATGAAACTTTTAGAGGACCTTTATCCATACAAGAAATGCAACTTTTATAGAACCTTTGTGCACCAAATAGCTCTCCATGGCGAATGTTCGAAGGGAAGGAATCGTCCATGGCGACGCTGAAACTTCATATTATTCGCTCTATTTGTAGTTACGTGAAGAGGAGTTATTGCTCCTCTTCCGATGACTTAGTTAATTTTTTGGATTCTTTGGATCCTTTGATCCCGGTTCCACTTTTTTTTAAGGGACGTGTTCCCCTTTTGAACGCTTTTTAATCGATTATTATTATTTATCAAAAAATAATAATACCTCTCCAAGGTAAGCCCTGCCAGTCAACACCTTGAAGCACCTTACAAAACATCTCAACTTGAAACTCACCCCAACCCCCAACCCGGCAGTCAGACCATATATCTCCCCCAACACAAGTTATAGAGGATGTCAGCAAGCCACAATTTAATCCAGCTTCTAATCCCTCATTGGCCCACGGTGGCAGACATCCCAATCTGAAATGTATAAGCCCTTCCTCAAGATATCCATAAATCCTTAGTGCCAATCTTCCCTCAACCATGCATCATCCAAAGAATGTCCCTCTCTACTCCTTACCTCAACAAACGCTTTTCTAGGAGGGCTTGGTTGAACAATCAGTCCCTAATGCCCCGTACAGCATAAACCAAATACATAATCTTCAGTTTTAGAGCAAACTGTTACAAAAGAAAGTCTTATCTCTCACGATAGCTTACTTACTAGAGAAGTGATATGACTAACATAAAAATGGAGTGACAGGATTTTTGTAAGATCCGATACTAATACGGGTAGTCTTAATGAACTAAATAAATAAACAGGAACCCCAAATTGAATAGAAGTGATTGTTTCACAAATTATTAAAAATATATATATATATAAGTCAACAAACTCTAGTAGTTTGGAAAGGTTAACAAAGGAAAAAAAAAGAAACCAAGGCAGGATAGATAACATGAATAACTACATAATTCACAAATACATAGAACATGCAAAGCAGAACATGAGTTCAACAGCAAGGTTATACCGAAGCTGCAGCCCTTGTAGTCATTGTGCGCTCCACGGCCACTGGTGCGAGAGTAGGCTCCACGCTGGATGTATTTGTGAGACAAGGTTCAAGATCAATGGTCCCACCTCCCTTCTGGGGGAAAAAGGAAAAGAAGGAAAAAGGGGGAGGGGAGAGAGAGAGGGGGCGGAGGAAAGCAAAAAGAGTCACTAAATGACAACTAAAAAAGAAATGGCCAATTAGAAAAGGACAATTAAAATTTATATGAATTGGCAGTCCAAAGTACAGACAGCAGATTGAAAAAAAAAAGAAAATCATTAAAAGAAGCCATAAAACTATTGACAAGTCATAAAAGCAATACGGAATGACACAACCATTTCTATTTATAAATTGAGAGCCACGAGATACACAAAAAGTCAAGTACTGAAACTGAATTCGGAGAGAAAATAAATATACTGCTAGAGGCATTCATCACCTTGACAATGCAACACCGTTCAACGCGATAACTGCAACCAATGGCAGCTCCCCAGGCACGGGAACGGACGTTGTTTCTCAGTGTAGATATATAGCCTAGAACAAATACCAGAGTCACACACAAATATAGTATATCATAACATAAGATCAGATGCAATAAGAATAAAATGCAAAACTTAACTTCATGAGTAACCCACTATCATATCACTGCTCATAAATTCACCAAAACTATAAAAAATGAGTTCTGCCATTAACCATTTTTATTATTACCCTTTACAATTTTGGAGGTGGTGTGTGTGTGGTGTTGTTTCCGTTTGCGAGGGGGGGGGGGGGGGGGGGCCCGGGAAATCGCTGTCAATATAAAAAAAGTAATCTTATTTCATCCATAAAGATTGATTGAAAGAGATAGTAGGAGCAATTGATAAAGTAAAAGATATGTCAATCAAATAAGCAGAACCATAAAAGGGCAAGGAGATACTATCCCTCACCCTTAAAATTAATTGTTTAAAAAATAAAAGGATACGTGTACCTTTGATAATTAGATACTGTTGCTTCAAAAAAAAAAAAAAAAAAACTTGATTTTTAAAATTTTGTCATCATTGGAATATATTAGCAATCCATTGACTGATGGAAGAAAAAAGAAGAAGAAGAAGAAGAAGAAGGAAAAGTCCATGACTCCACTCTATAATATCAATGCAGCAGTTTTGTAATACAAAAGATTTGTATGAACAATCCTCTAGCCACAAATTTCGTCCACTTCGGCTCTGAGAAAAGTTGAATATGAAGAAAAGTTTAAAAAAGAATACAATATAACACGGTGTTCTAGCTTTTGAATTTGAACGTCCAAAAAGTATGAAAAGTAACTGCACCATAAGGACATCAAGTGTAGAGTGATATGATACAGGCAACTCTTAAGTTGAACAAGTAAACCTACATTACCATTTTCAATAGGACAAAACTTGGCTCGGGCCATATAAGAAGGAATTTCCTTCAACAAGTGATGTGGCCCAATCAAATATTGACACCTATTTCAGAATTAAGAAGAGACACCGGGTCTCAATAAAACCCATATCAAAAATCCCCTCCCCCCACGCACCCCCACTCTCCATCCATATTCTTCTGCAACTTCTTCGATCTGAAATTTACTCATCATTTCCATAAAAATCATCATCCTCATCACCACCATCGTTCTCAACTCTCCCACCTTTGGTGTACAGAGTCTCATGGCAACAAATCTCATCTCTTTGGTGACACTTCTTCTTCTTCCCTGGGTACTGCTTCCTGTACCTCCTCTTCTTCCTTTTCACCAGCAGAGAATTCGTCGTCACAGCCGCTGTGACAGGCAATTTGCCCTCTGCCAATGGCAGCGATGATGCTGTGATCAAAGTAGTAGAATTGGGGCAGCAAGAAATAAAGGGGACTTTTCTAATAATACTTTCCTTTCTTTGATTCAAATGTTGACTTTTTTTTAGTGAGAAATTAGAGAGTGAGAGATTGGGTTTGAATTTGGAAAGATAAGGAATGTTGTGAGAAAGGAGGGTTCACAGCCATTCTCTTCTCCACTGAAAATCCTCCGGGTGTTGGTGTAGAAGAATCACAGTACCAGTAGTATGGTTCGACATTGATTTCTTTCTCTCTTTTTTCTTCCAAATTTTCTCTATTTTTTACAAATGTTCTGCCGGTCGGCGACTTTCATTTCTGATTTGGCGAACATCTTTGAGTTGTGAGGTATTTTGATTAGATTTGAAGAGGAATAGATTGAAGGTTTAGGCTTTCAGAGGTGAAAGAGAGGATGAGAAATTTAGAGAGAAAAGGAGAAGAGATTGTGAGAAGCGGAAGCATGGTGGTGGTGGCGGAGGGTAGGGAGCAGCGACTATTAGGGTTTGAGAGAGAGAGGGAGGGGGAGTCTAGATGGGTTGACCCAGTTAACCCGTTAAAAATGGGTCTAATATATCTTTTAATTTTTTTTAAATATTTTATGATTTTTTCAAGACGTGTGTCAATATTTGATTGGACCAAATCACCTATTGAATGAAGTTCCTTCTTATATGGCCTGAGGCAAGTATTGTCCATTCCTTCTTATATGGCCTCAGGCAAGTATTGTCCTTTTCAACATCTAGATAAAACATCATTATTTTACTCAAAATCCTAATTATACCAAGTGCATGCCCTTGATGGATGAATCATGTCTAGTTTATTTGTACAAAATATAGTTAAATCCTCCATGGAACATGTGTAATCTAATGCAATATCATAAGTCAAAAAAATAGAAAAGAAAAGAGAAAATGAAAGAAAAAGGAATGAAAAAACAGAAAGGAAAAGAAGAATAAAGAAAAAGTTTCAGTTTATATGGACTAACAATCTTGCGGGGGTAGCACCCTAATAGTAGCACGTAACTCCTGGATAGCTGGTGAAGGAGGCGAAGCAGTTGGGCGACAGTAACCTGTGTGCATCAGAACTGGAAGACAGGGAAGCACACTAGTCAAAGTATACAACTAAAATAAATCATATACAACACAAAATATACATTCGTAATCACAATAGGACATACCAGCAACAAGGTCAGAGTCATCAGTGTATATATCTGTTCCCCATAGCTGGCCACCTCTAACCTGCAAATGAAGCAATTAAATAACTAAACAAGCGACTATAGCATGGGTAAAACAAGATACAGGTAGGAAAATGGAACTTTTCCTCTCTCTTTTTTTGGTTGACAAGTGTGATTAACACAAAATGATAGACACAAATAATTTAAGAGATTCTTTTTTTTTCGGAAGTTAATTTAAGAGATTCTTCTGATTAAAGGCGAAGTAGTGCAGGAAACCCAAAGATCTTCAGTTATGATCATCTTTTCTTTTTTCCCTTTTTGTATGGGAAACAAATTTTGGAGCAACCAAGTGGTGCATCCACTACCAGATCATAACTGCTATGCAGCACTTGTTGAACCCTAAAAATAGCAGTCTTTTGTTTTAACCTTTTTGGTAAGACAAAAATTGATTTAACAGACAACAGGAGGACAAGCTCTCCTCAGGAAAAGCAAAGAAAAGCATAGGAGTAACTCTTCAAGAGCTCCAAGTAAAAGAAACAAAAGTATCTGAATTATGTAGTACCAGCACAGGCACATTCAGACCAGATATTTAGTTGTCCTGGATTACAAATGTCACGTGAGGATCTTAGTAAAAACTAGAATTCAAAATTAATCCGGGTAAAGATACAGATTTTTATGTTGTTGAAATAATACGACGCAACCTATTATCATATATAATCAGAAACTTTATGAAAAGGATACAAGCGCTCGCTAACACAAGCATTAAAAAATAACAAACAACTGCTCAGAAAGTAGATACCACTTGCAAATTGTAATCAAACAGATATGTAAACATAGAAAAAAATTAAACAGCTGCTTAAAATATTATTATTATTATCATTTAGAAAAGGAAAAAATTACCAAAAAAATTAAAGTAAAACTGAAACCATTGTTTAGCTTCAAAATTTGGACAAAAGTATTTTCAGATCTATGATGCATAGGAATAGGATGCCGCCCACTAACAACATCTACATTCTAGACGCATATTAAACCTAATGCCACAGTGGTATTGGATATGTACAGCATCTCTGCAGAACAAAAGAAAAAACAAAGGAACCAGCCCCTCTTTGCATTCAGAGAAAAAGGCGAAAAGAAGAGGAAGAAAAAATAATAATAACACCGTCTTCTGGTTGTTTGTTTCTGAGAGAGAGAGGGAGGGAGCAACGTACTCATTGAGTCATTGCTACAGATGTCCAGTTTTCTTCTTCAGTTTCAACTTGGAAGCTTCAAACCCCAATCTGATTTTGTTGTTCAACTGCTAGGAGAGAAAATGGGGGCACTTGGAACAGTGAACCCTTAATTGATAACTTGTGTAGATGAACCCAAGGGGCAAGACCAAGATAGGCCTTTTACTTTTACAAAGGTTAGTATTTAAGTGCCTCAAACTGTTTTCTATCTTTGAAAATGAGAAAACCCTTTTTTCATGTTTCATTCATAAAATTCCCTACTTACTTAATTTATACACAAGACAACCCAGACATTAATTAACATTAATGACAAATTTGACCATGATTAATATAAAAAAAATACATATAAAAGGATTATTTATATAAACAATGAAATAAAAAAATAGAAAAAGTACATGCACATATAATTACCCAAATCCATGTTTGTGTCTAGAAATCATGGATTCAAGACCTGCAGACTACAATTAGCAAGAACTTTTTTTTTTTTTTTATAAGTAAGATTTCATTAAAGGCGCGTTTGTGTCTAGAAATCATGGATTAAAGACCTGCTGACTACAAGTAGCAAGAATATTTTTTCTTTTTCTTTTTTTCTTCTTGATAAGTAAGATTTCATTAAAGGCACTCAAATGGGGAGCGCTCCTAAAGGAAACTGTTGAAGCATGATTCTGCACAATCCCGAAACAACACTGTTTCCCTGCAACAAAGAGGTGAACCTTGATCAACACCGGTGTGGTTCCTGCCAAGAGCTCTTCGACAATCAAGTCAGTTCCTGGAGCTCTAAAGTAAAAGCAGAAATTTAATGTATTAATTGTCCCATACCTCTTTTGGTTGGTGAGAGGTCATAATTATAACGATGCTATGGTACAGCTGTTGCGACTTGTTGGGATTTGAAGAGATATTTGATGAGACTCTTCCACTGACTCACTATCTCATTTACAAAGGCAACACCAATTAATAATACAGTTGTCTCTCTTCCTCAAATTGTCAATCGTTAGAATCTTGCTCCATACAGCAGTCCAAACAAAAAATGTCACTCTAGGAGGAGCAGTAGAACGCCATATGGTCTTCCATGGAAAATCAATGCCAACGAAGTTGGTTGGGCATCGAAACAGGGATCGTACTTCAAATCGACCATTGGTAGAGGGGATCCACCTAATATCATCACTACCTTTGCCAACTGCCTCCTATTGATACAACATATCCAGAAGAACACACACCTCGTCCATCTCCCAATCCTGAAAGGAATGCCGAAAGCTCACATCCCACGTAATCCCACTACTATCAAGCCGATAACAGTCAACTACGCAGGCATGTCTGTCGGTGGCAAAGTTGTACAAACTTGGAAAAGTGCAAGATAACGGCTGATCATCGCACCATAGATCCTCCCAAAATTGAACATATCTACCGTCATGTACCTTAAATCTAATATGGGAAGAGAAAACATCCCAACCCTTCCGGATGGATTTCCACACACCAACTCCTCCTGCAATAGAGATTAGACGAGTAGACCACCCGCCACTCTCTTCCCCAAAACAACATGAAAAGAGCCTTCTCCGAGGTCGATGCATTTCCCTGCCGAATCTCCATAACCATTTGCCCAAAAGAGCTTGATTAAAAGGAACCAACCTCCAAATACCCAGACCACCCAACTTGATGGGCTTGCAAACTTGCTCCCACCTGACGAGATGATACTTAAACTCTTTGACCCTTCCAACCCAAAGGAAGTCCCTTTGCATCTTTTCAATCCTTTCTGCAATAGAGCATAGGATTTGGAACACAGATAAAAAATATGTAGGTAGGCTCGAGAGAGTACTCTTTATGAGAGTAACCTTCCCCCCCTTCGACAGATGTTGCTTCTTCCATCCTGCCAACCTCTTAACATATCCATCTATCACAGGTCCCAGCTCCCCACCCTTCTAGAGGAGACCCCCAAAGGCAAACCCAAATAAGGAATAAGGAAAGAACTCACCCTAGACCCTCGAACTGCAGCTAAGGAGGAAATATCCTGAACATCCCTAACCAGGACTAGCACACTCTTAGCCACATTGACCTTCAGCCCAGAAACCGCCTAAAAACAAACCAAAATGCACCTCAAATATCGAAGTTAAGACACATCAGCATCACAAAAGACCAAAGTATCATCTGCAAACAGGAGATAAGAAATCTCCATTTGATGAACTATGTCTCTGGCCACCCAAAAGCCCTTAATAAGACCGAGATCCTCTTCCCTCCTCATAAGTCTACTCAAGCCCTCCATTATAACGAAAAAAAGAAAAGACGATAGGGTCACCTTGTCTCAAACCTCGAGAGCACCCGAAGAAACCAGCAGGAGACCCATTCACGAGGATAGAGAACTTTACGGATAAACGACATGTTTCTATCCATTTCCTCTATCTACTACCAAACCCCATTCTTTGAAGTAAGTACAACAGGAAATTCCACTTAACATGATCATAAGCTTTTTCAATGTCAAGTTTGCATAAAACTCCAGGGACACCACTTCGCAGTCTGGAATCCACACATTTGCCTGCAATAGGAACTGAGTCTAGAATCTGCCGTCCTCCGACAAAAGCATACTGGGAATCCGAAATAATCCCATCCATGACATCCCTCATCCCAAGAGCAAGAACCTTAGCAATAAGCTTGTAAATGCAACCCACAAGGCTAATTGGTCTAAAATCCTTAATATCGGAAGCGCCACCCTTCTTAGGGATGAGGGCAATGAAAGAGGCATTTAACGACTTCTCGAAGACTCCATTAGAATGAAACTCCTGAAGGTGCCCATCACCTCATTTCTCACCACCTCCCAACTTTCCAACAAAAATCGCATAGTAAACCCATCTGGCCCCGGGGCTTTGTCACCATTACAACTCGACAAAGCCTTAAGCACTTCCTCTTCAGAAAAAGGCATCTCAAAACCATCTCTATCAACCTCAGACATAGCCTCAAAATGAAGCCCATCCAGCCTGGGTCTCCATCCTAACGGCTCGGTGTAAAGCTTCTAGTAAAAAGAGACGATCCCATTACGCACCTCTTCCTCCCTCCACAACTCCGAACCTTCCATCCGAATTCGCCCTATGTGATTGCTCCTTCTGTGGGCATTAGCAAGCCTGTGGAAAAATTTCGTATTACGGTCACCTTCTTTGAGCCATAAAGCCGAGATTTCTGGCGCAATGAGATCTCCTCCATACGGGGCAATCTCAGCAAAATCCGCCTGACAGGAAGCTCTCCTAGAGCGTAGAGACTCCACATCCCCACCTATCTCTTCAAGACGATCAATCTCAGAAAAATCAGCAAGGACTCTATTCTTTCGCTATTCAAGGTTCCCGAAAGCTTCCTTATTCCACCTCTTGAGCTTGATTTTGAGAACTCTAAGCTTCCTAGCAAACACAAAACTGGAAGAACCTGTAACCGTTGCTTCCTCCCACCAAGACCATACACTCCCTAGGAAGTCCTCCGCTCTCAACCACATATTCTCAAATCAAAATGGGGAAGATCGAGACCTCAATCCCCCACAATCCAGTACCAGAGGAACATGATGGTAAAACTGACTGAACAGCATCCGGGAATTTCTCTTCCTACTCCCCAGAGATCAAGAACCTATCCAGTCTTGATAAGGTAGCTGGGTCTCTGCCATTAGACCAGGTAAAGGCTGCCCCTTCCATTGGCAGATCAATGAGAAAATGTCCATCAATAAAATCAAAGAACTAAATCATGTCCGGAGACCACCTTCCCCCTGTGGACCTCTCAAACGGGGTCCTAATAGAATTAAAATCCCCACCCAGACACCAAGAAAGAGTCCACAATCCCTGAACATGGCAAAGCTCCTCCCAAAAGA